CTCATCCCCGTGAGTCACTGGTTGCAGCTGCCAGGCCCTGCCCAGGCCTGTCCCTTCCCAGGGCCACCAGCTGCTTTGGGAACATCACCTGCCTCTGCCTGGCTCCGTCTGGTCCCTGGACAAAGCCCAGAGGCTGAGTGCCTGGGGGCAGCTGGTTCCTTCCACTGTGGTGGCACACAGGTCTCCTCCAGGGACAGTCCCATGGGCTGCCGACCTCGTTGTGCCCTGATGATTGTCCCTTCATCTCTCCCAACACCTTGGAGCCAAGCTGCCACGCTCCCAGCTCCCATCCCTCGGCAGGACACCCTCCCTGGGTCCCACATGTCCCCTTGGGGTCGCCCCTGATGTCGCCCCTTGTCTTGCAGTGCTGAGGAATGTAAACAAGTCTGCTGGGCTCTGAGGGACTTCACCCGCCTGTTCCGATAGCTCCGGCTCCACGTGGCACCTGTCTCCCAGGTAAGGGCTGGCTCCGGGCTCCCCCGCCCCACGGGACACCGGGGACAAAGGGTGAGGCTCCCTTCCTCCTGCCAGGAATGTCTTTAAGGAGAAGACAGGCAACAGCAACCCAAGAATGTGTCCCACAATCAGCCGAGGGCTCTCGCCCGCTGCAGCGCGTCCCGGAGCCACGGGAGGGAGGAGGGCTCGGGGGTCCCGGCGGCCCCGCCCACCCGCCCGGGGCTGGGCACCGCCTGGCACCGCCCGCCCGGGGCTGGGCACCGCCCGAGCAGCAGCCCCGGGGCAGCGCCTCCCACCCGACTGCAACCCACCAGGCAGCGGAGCCACGCCGAGCCACTCGGCTCCGCCCGGCAGCAAAAGAAGTAGAAAAACTTTCTGTGAAATGGAGACAAAAAAGAAGGAAAAGAAACAAACATAAAACAAACAGTACAAATTGTTTAGGAAGATGGGGGGGTCAGTCTGGGGGTCCTGGGGCGCTGCCCCCCTGAGCCCACCGTGGCCTGCCTGGTGCCGACTCCCCGAGACGACACAGGCGGGACGGACTCTGCAAATAGAGATTTATATTTTATTTTGTTCTGCTTTTTTTTGTTTGTTTCTTGTTTGGTTTTTTTCTCTTTTTTTTTTTTTTCCCGTAGGAGGCGGTGGCTCGAGTGCGGGCAGGGCGGGCGGGCGCATGCGGTTCCCTCCGGGGGTGTGTAGCCATCTCGAGAACAATAAAAAAACAACNGGGAATTCAGCATAAACCCTTGGGGAGGAGAGAGGCTTTGGAAGAGGTGGGGAGTGCAGGGAGGTTGTGGATCCCCGTGTGTGTGATTTGGGAAGAGTGTGTGAAACCCTGCATGGTGCAGCTCCTTGGGGAGGTAACCCAGCCTCAGAGAAGGATCCCTGAGTCCCAGAGCTGGGTGTTCCCTGCTCCACTTGGCTCCTGCCAGGCTCCAAAGGGAAGCTTCCATGGAGAATCACTGCTGGCTCAGGTGGCCTCACTGACCTGAGCGAGTCCCTTGGGATGTCCCTGCCCACAGGGGCCAGGCTGGGGATGGAGGGGTGTGGGGTCAGGGCAGATGTGGAAGCGTTCCTGTCTCCCCAGATGGTGAATGTGTACCGGGAACACCAGCACTCCTGTTTCCTCTACCTGGGCAGCATCCTGGTGGATGAGTACGGCATGGAGGAGGGCTGCCGGCAGGGCCTGCTCGACATGCTGCAGGTGGGGCTCACCTGCCCAAATCACAGCATCACTCAGGGTGGAAATCCCTCTGATCCCATCGAGTTCAACCGTCCCCCAGCACTGCCAAGGCCACCACTGACCCTGTCCCCAAGTGCCACATCCACACAGCTTTGAAATCCCTCTGGGGATGGGGACTCCACTGCTGTCCTGGGCAGCTGTGCCAGGGCTGGACAGCCTTTCCAGGAGGAATTTTCCCTAATATTCCATCTGTATAGAATCTCAAACTGGTTTGGGAAAGAAGGGACCTTGAAGCCCATCCATGGTCAGGGCCACCTTCCACTATCCCAGGCTGTCCCCAGCCCCCTGCAGCCTGTCCTTGGACACTTCCAGGGCTGGGGCAGCCCTAGCCTGTTCCATGTGGGGAAGGGCAGCTTGAGGAGTGATCCCAGGTAGTTGCTGATGGATCCCTGTTCTCCCCAGGCTCTCTGCATCCCCACCTTCCAGCTCCTCGAGCAGCCCAACGGCCTCCAGAACCACCCTGACACCGTGGATGACCTCTTCCGCCTGGCAGCCAGGTGCCACCTCCTTCACAGGCCACCCAGCCTCTCTCCGCTCGTGGAGAGTCCCCCTGGGAGCTCCCACGGGAGCAGTGGGGTGGGCAGAGGCAGGCCCTGCCCTGATGTCCATTTATCTGTGTCCTGGGCAGGTTCATCCAGCGCAGCCCCATCACCCTCCTGCGCAGCCAGGTGATGATCCCCATCCTGCAGTGGGCCATCGCTGCCACCACCCTGGACCACCGGGACGCCAACTGCAGCGTCATGAAATTCCTGCGGGACCTGATCCACACCGGGGTGGCCAACGACGTGAGTGACACTCGGGGGTGCCACCATGGAATCCTGGAATGGCTGGGTGGGAAGGGACCCCAGAGCCCCTGCAGTGCCACCCCTGCCATGGCAGGGACACCTCCCACCATCCCAGGCTGCTCCAGCCCCGTCAGTCCCACCATCCTCATCTGCCCTGTCCTGGTGTCCCCACAAGCCACCCACCCTGGTTTCTCCACTGCTGCTGGCAGAGAAGCTCTGGGGTTGCCTGCCCCCAGGACCAGTGTGTGTCCCTGTCCCCAGGCCCTGCCCACCCCCTTCTCCTTCCTCCCACAGCATGAGGAGGACTTCGAGGTGCGGAAGGAGCTCATCAACCAGGTGATGACCCAGCTGGGGCAGCAGCTCGTGAACCAGCTCCTGCAGACATGCTGCTTCTGCCTCCCGCCCTACACCCTGCCCGACGTCGCCGAGGTGCTCTGGGAGATCATGCAGATCGACCGCCCGGTGAGGGGGCACCCACAGGGACAGGATGGGCCCCAGGGGCAGGGCTGGGACCCCACAGGGACAGGATGGGACCCCACAGGGACAGGGATGGGACCCCAGAGGCAGGGCTGGGACCCCAGAGGGACAGGATGGCCCCAGGGGCAGGGCTGGCACCCCAAGCTGTGCCCAGGCAGGGCCCGGGAGCCAGGCTGGGCTCCCCATTCCGAGTCGCTCCCTTTCCCTGGCACAGACGTTCTGCCGCTGGCTGGAGAACTCGCTGAAGGGGTTGCCAAAGGAAACCACGGGCGGAGCCATCCAGGTGACACACAAACAGCTCACCGACTTCCACAAGCAGGTCACCAGGTGAGTGCCACGGG